CTGCGGAGTCGATAGGCCGTTTATGGTCTCAGGTATTTCTCATGCTTTTATTTTATTTTATTTTTCCTTTTTTCTTTTGCTATTTTAAAGATTAATCAAAGGAGTGTGAACGGTAAGATAGTTATTAGTGAACAGTCTCGCAAGTGTTAAATTACCTAACGTATTCTCTCATTATGTGCGTATATATTCTCTTATTTTTTATTTTCACATCAGTAAATGCCTGTGGTCGCTGCTGTTTTGTTAATCAGGCAAAAGAGGTGGTCTTTCAGGTGGCAATGGTTCTGCCAGCAACAACATTTCCTGACCGGGTAGATTATTGCTGCAAAGGAGGGAAATTGTCTTTTCGTGTTCGTGGAAATTTCCCACGTGTCCTTCTCGGATACGAGATGGGGAAAGTAATAAACACAAGGTGTATGTACTTGGTGAAAGCTTTTATGAGCATCAATGGTCGTCATAAAATGCCGTGGGTGATACATGATCGTGCTGCAAGGAAAAAGGGAGAAGTTTTATTTACTGCAGGTTATCCCCATCATGTGTTTCTCTTTGATCTGCTACGTCATTTTAGGGAAGAAGAGTTGGAGGGGTTTAATAGGTTTTTGGGATTGGATAAATGGAATGATGTGGACATAGAAATCACATTTCACCCACCAGATATGTCCATAATTAACTGTGGTATTTATGTCGATAAGCAAGAAACGAACATGGAGAATGTACAGTTCAAGTCTTCTGAACTGATTTCCATGAAAACTTCAAGAACTTCACTAAAACGAAGAGCCGTAGCTTCTCATCCTAACGAACCACCCAACAAGCATCTAAGAGGGTTCCAAGAAAAGATTAATAATGCGAGAAAGAGCACAAGGTGAGCCTCTACTTCCTCTTATTAACTGTCGTTTCGTGGTTTTATGATTAGTGTTGATGTTTTCCCCTTTCGTGTATTATTGTAGGAAAACTAAACCTCACCAGATTTTTCACTCACAGTTGAAGAGAAGATGGTTTTTCCTTTGTCTAAGCATCTTTGGAGAGCTTTGTATTCTTAGGCATCAAAATATAACAGTTGGTAGCAAATTGTTAGTTAATCGAAAGGAATTCTGAGTGATTGTTAATTCCAATGTGACGATTAATTTCATTTTTTAATGTATTATCATATATATATATGGTTATATGAGTAATATGTTTACCATGTAAATATTATGTTATATCTTGTGTCCAATTTGTTTAATGACAATTGCTATAGAAATATCATTACATATCTTCAATTTTAGTTTTTGAAAAGTTATTAAGAATAGGGATATTTTATTTTAGAAAAATATATTTAGGTGAAGTTTCGTATGTCTATTATGTCCAGTTCTTCTATCACATTAGTCATGTGTTTTATTTTTTTTCATGTAAGTTTATAATCAAATACTATTAAATACTAATATTTTCAAAATAAAACACATGATTATATGTAATTAAAAATTTTAACATAATAAATATAAATAATTTGATATAAGGGAAAATGCTTACATTAAGTTGTTATATTCATCATAAAACAATAAATAAAGTTGTGTGATTGTCATGTCAAATGGGATTCGAATCATTATAAAACAATATTGCTAATCATGAAGGGGGCGCATAAATAAGAGCGAACGAAAAGAAAAGAACACATATACTACTGCTACATATAAAACTTTATATTTTGGTTATAGTTATTTTAACTTATGCACGGCAATTTAGGGAATGATTAATGTTTAGACCATCAGTTTTGTTTTGTACAGTTTTATAAAGATTAAAATATTTGATGTCGCAGATTTTTTTCCCTTTTACAGTAGTTTTTTAAAAAACAAAATTGAAGGCGGAGTAGAAATGTATATATCTTTTCAACTTCTTTCGAAAATTATAAAACTTTATGGGTCAAAAATCATTTTTGTTCTAAAAATATTCATGAAGGCTTGGGGGTATTAAGATTTTTTTTTTTTGACTCAGTATCCTCTCGGAAGTGTAAAAAAATAGTAATGTCATCCAAATAAAATTTTATATCGTTAAAAATATAGTGAAAACTTATTACTCCTCCGATCCTTATTATAAGACCCAATTTGACTTTTTATTTGGTCCTAATTATAAGACCCAATCCATTTTGTCTCTTATATTTATGCATTTTTTTCCAAGATAATCCTTCTAATAATGATAGTTTTAGCCAATATACTTAATTAGTAAGGATATTTTAGGAATGACAACACTTATTTATTATAAATAACCAACTTAATTTACTTTCTTAATCTCCTCAAATAAGTTAATTGGGTCTTATAATTAGGACCGGAGGAGTATTATATTATCATATTGCACATTCTGGGATTCCCCATATAAAAATGGCACAGCCAGCTGGTTTTGTCTTTGGAATTGACGTAACTATGAGATGCAATACAAGCATTGGATGTGGAAGAATGCGATGCCTTTGTTTCTGTATTGTACATTCCGTCTTTTCATTTCTCCCAGCTATTATATAACTGAGAGATCTGTTGGCCCAAAAACAAAAAAACTGAGAGATCTGTTTCTCCTATTTTTAGTGGCTTGCTTCACTTCTAGCTATAATTTGTTCGCATCATTGGTAAATATGTCCAGCTGTGAGTAGATTTAAATTAACATGAAAGATGTCATATATCAAATAAAGTCGGGATTATTGATAGATATATAATAGAGTTAAATTACTTATAAACATAAGTTATGAGTTAATATAAATTTTAGTCTTTTAAATTTGTTTTAATTTTAGTTTTAGTCTCTTAAATTTTAAATCATAAGTTTCAATCTCTTAATTTTTTTATTTAAAACATTGATCCTTATAATTTAATGAAAATTTGGATCGTTTTACCGTTTGAGGGACCAAAATATTTATTTTCTACGAGAACAAAGATGAGGTTCGATGCTCACTTTAATTTAATTTGGACCATTCAAATTGACTTTGGATGGTATAAATTTAATTTAAAATTTTTTGTGTTTGAAATAATTTTTTATTTTAATATATACAAAATTTAAAATAAAGATAATCTTAAAATTAACTCTTTCTTTAAAAATAAGTTTATTATTGAGAAAATTATAAATTAAAATTTTTGGGGTGCAAATTTAGAGTGTCTCCAAATCACCTTAAAATTGGTAAGTGAAAAAAAAATGAGAGAAAAAAATGAAAAAAAAAGAGAAAAACATATAATTAATTAAGAGTGCATGATTAGATAATTTCATATTATAGAGTATAAAAAATTAAATCCTTTTAAAAATTTGATGCTTATATTTTGAAGTGAATGAGTATTATTTAATTAATTTAATACAAAGGCTGATTGAAAAATGAATGAGAGAGATTGCACGAGGGGGAGAGAATAAGTTACCGAGTTTGTTTTGCTTACAAATCATGTGGGCCCAGCTGTCATTCACCCTCCCTTCCACCAATTAAAGGCACGCAAACACAGCAGTGAAGAAATCGTTCAGGTGGAGCATTTTTGAAAGCGTAGCATTTAAGTATTCTTGTTTACTGTTTATAGTATCTAGGTCAAAAAGCTTCCCTCTAGGCTATCAAATAAAGCAATAACGCATTTGTTTGTGTTTCTGTAAACCAGGAGTGAAGCATCTTTAACGTACAGTGCATCTTATTATTATGTTCCCTAAGGATCCCAAATTATTTGTTGAAAGATTATGAAAGTAAGGTATTAATAATTTTTACTCCCCATTTGGTATAGACAATCAAGGTTTATTATTTAATATTTTTATTTTTAAAAATATTTTTTAATAGATAAATAATCCAAAATAAATATAATATCTTTGATGTAAGTTTTTTTAAAAAAATTATTTTTTATTTAAAGCTACTACTAGTTAAAAATACTTTCGATGGTTGACTTCTCTTCTTCTTCTGGTAATATTTATTATTATGGCAATCATAATTTAAAAATACTGTGCTTAATTTTATGAATATGGCAAATATTTCTCTTATTCTTTAAAAGCACGCGCTTCTTTCTACTAGAAAAAGCAAATATTTATACGTTCATTGCTTTCTAAGATATATAATTATAAAATTCATCACGATGAGATTTTGTTAATTTTTTTATAATAACTTATGGTCGTCAACATATTTTCACATACAAAATGTCGTAGGGAAAACAAATTTCAAATACACAAGATAAAACTAATTCATTTATCGTCTTAGGTTTTTCTCCTGCCACAGGCATCCAAGAAAGCTCCACAAAAAGAGTGAAAAACACAATTAGCTATAACTTATATTATTCATAAAAATTTTTTGATTGTGTTTATTCTTGAGCCCTCAAATCTCAATGGTGACGGTCCTATGGGAATTTTTTTTAATTTTATTTTAGAAAAAAATTAGAATGAATCCCTTATTGAAAAATTAATTGACAAATGGAACCTAAGGACTGTGTGCCAATTAATTTTTATTGCGTGCAACTTAACTTTCTTTGTATATAATTCATCTTCTCTTGTGTGCAATAATTTTTCTTTGTGCAATGTTCAACTTAATTTCCATTTATACAAATGAAATTCTGTTATGTGTAAGTCATCTTCCCTATGTACAAACTAATCCGCCATATCCAAATAATATTTTGTGCAAACCATCTTATCTTTGTGCAACTTACCTTATTTTATGTGGAACTAATCTTTCCTTGTGCAATGAATCATCTTAGGGACTATTTGCCAATTAAATTTGCAACGAGGGATTTATCTCAGTTTTTCCTTTATTTTATGGCCAGAATGGTCCTCTCGATCAATTTCAAATAAAGCATTAAGGCATCTTTCTTTTCTTTCTTTTTTTGGGGGTTGGAAAGCATTAAGGCATCTTTACGTACAAAGAAACCAGAGTGGGGCATCTTCTACAGTATTATTTTCAAACGTTTTCAACATTGACACCGGCCAACACTGGATTCCTAAAAAGACAACATTAAACTGGAATTAGTTTGCTTACATTTCCCTAAGTTCGTCTGTGCTTAATCAAGATTAAATTGGACATAGCAGGCAGCTTAATTATGGCGACTCAAGTTGAAACAACATCATCCTTTGGCTCCAATAACAAAACCGAGTATAGATATGATGTTTTTCTGAGTTTTAGAGGTGAAGATACTCGCCACACCTTCACTGTGCCTCTCTACAATGCTTTGCGATGTAAGGGAATCAATGCCTTCATTGACGACAGGAAGCTTGGCAAAGGGGAAGAGATCTCACCTACGCTTCTTAGAGCCATTGAGAGATTGAGAATTTCCTTCATTGTGTTCTCTAGGAGCTATGCTACTTCCACATGGTGCCTAGAGGAACTCGCCCATATCATTTGGTGTCAGAAGCGGAAGAACCAGCTGGTTATGCCCATCTTTTACAAGGTGGATCCGTTGGATGTTCAGTATCAGAAAAATAGCTTTCAGGAAGCCATGGCTGCTCCTGAAGATAGGTTCAGCGATGACTTGGAGAAAGTGCGCAAATGGAGATCTGCTTTGTTTGAAGCTGCTAGCTTATCACTGGCATGGCTTTTCGAAGAAGATGGGTATGTTTTCTTATATTATTTCCTTAGTGGTTAGCACGCTATTGAAGGTGTTTGAAATTTTGACGTGTGACTATCGCTTTTGCAGTCCAATGAAAGGTGCAAGAAATTAAACATGTAGTTTTCACAGTATTGTTCTTATGAGGATTATTATATATAGAGTTTTAACTTTTGATTCTTGAAATAAATACTAAATTTAAATTTAATAAATAAAAGTTTAATCTAATGCTTACTCGTAAATTTAATAAAATTTTTCCCAATGAAATAAAAAATAATAACAATACGTTGACAGCTACGCATATCCCTTTTTTTTTTTTTTTAAGTTTCTGAACCCAGTTTTCACTTTTAATACTATTTTAGAATAAAATACTATCATGGATATTCATACAAGATTACAATGTAAATTTGCGATCTTAATAAATTAGACATATTCCTTTTATAGTTTGTAACGAGTACAGCTTCGTAACAATAATTATTAAGATATTTTTGTTTTTGCATGATTACTTTTGGTTACTTAAATGATGTCAAGTGCACATTTGTTCCTCTACTTTTATACAATGTTTTAGTTTAGTTTCTTCATTTTAGAAGTATTTTTTCATTCTCTTAAAACTCTAGATGTTTTTGTAACAATTATTGTTATTTTAAAAATTAAACTTAATATGCCACATTTGACGATAGTTTGTCAATATTTCAAATTGAAATTTCAATGTCAGTATTTTTTGGTTTACAGTGTCAGGATAAAATGATTGAAGATATACTTATATAAAATTAAGGGATCAAAGTGAAACCGCTAAAAATTAACTTCAAATATGCACCTTGTATATAAGGGATTCAAATAAATCTTAGACACATACAGTGAAAGTATTAAAATCTTGGAGAGCCAATTAATATTGATAATATCTTCAAAGAATCCAAACATAACTGTATTGAAAAAAATTATATGATAATAGAGTACAAAGATATAAAACAGAACATGTTACGAAAATCATCTTCATAGTAAAAATTTTCGCCGTTGTAGATGCAACGAAGGTGGATTTATTGAGGGTATTGCTGAAGATGCATACGCTAGGCTACCTCCTAAACGCTTCCATAACGTTGATTACATCGTCGGACTTGAGCCTTGCATAGAAGAAGTCATGTCACTTTTGAATGAGTCTGATAATAGTGTTTCTATGTTGGGGATTCATGGAGCTGGTGGAATTGGCAAAACAACCCTTGCAAAAGCCATCTATAACTCAATCTTCTTCTATTTTGAAGGTGCTTGTTTTTTATTTGATGTCAGAGAAGTGTCAAAGAAATATCAGGGTGTTGTCCGCCTTCAACGAACACTTCTATCAGAAGTTCTTGAGGAAAAGAAGATGAAGTTGGGTAGTGTTGATGAAGGAATATCAAAAATAAAGCATAGACTCTCTCACAAAAAGATTTTGTTGATTCTTGATGACGTTGAAGAAGTTGAGCAGTTAGAACAACTTGCAGGAGGGGCTGATTGGTTTGGTTGTGGAAGCAAGATCATCATAACAACAAGAAACAAGCAATTGCTAGTTGCACACGATCTTAAAAAAACATATGAAATGAAACAGCTGAATGAGCATGACTCTCTTAAACTGTTTTGTTGGCATGCCTTTCGAATGAGCCACCCTCCAAAAAGCTACAAAAGTATGTCAATTGGTGTTACAGATTATGTACGTGGCCTTCCTTTGGCCTTAAAATTGATAGGCTCCAATTTGAGACATAGAAAATTAGCGGAATGGAGATATACACTACAACAATATAACCAAATCACTGGAAGAACAATACATGAGATATTGAAAATAAGCTATGATTGCTTACAAGAGGGTGCTAAGCGTATTTTTCTGGACATTGCTTGTTTCTTTAAAGAGGAGAATTTGGAATATGTTGAAGACATACTAGGAGCTTGTTATTATGGGACAAGGTTTTATATTGAAGTTCTTGTTGATAAATCTCTAATAACTGTTGCTGATAATGGTCGCTTGCACATGCATGATCTAATACAACAAATGGCTAGAGAGATTGTTAAGCAAGAGGCACCCTCCAGTCTTGGTAAACGTAGCAGGTTATGGTATTACAAAGATGTGCTTAATGTGCTGCAAAATAATTTAGTAAGAGAAAAAAGGTTATCTATTTCCTTACGTACATTAAATTGTATAAATTTGAAAAATTATCTAACAATGTCACTTTTTTGAACTTGTGTTATAGGGAGGAAATGATATTGAAGGGATAATCCTTGATCCACCTAAACAAGAAGAAGTGATATGGAATGGTTTGGCCTTTCAGAAGATGAAAAATCTTCAATTTCTCATTGTTCGAAATACCCAATTCTTAACAAGTCCCAAGTATCTTCCTAATAGTTTGATATTGCTTGATTGGGAGAGATATCCTTCTATGACTTTACCACCAGATTTTTCTCCTCCAAAACTAGTTTGCTTCAAGTTATATAGAAGTCTTTTCAAATTGGAAGAGCCATTCCAGGTACATTTTTTTCACTCTTTTTTTTTTTTTTTTACTTCTTTCTATCTTTTTTCTTTGATCAAATTTCTGGAGCCATAATGTTCTTCTAAGAATCAAGAATAAATAACTTTAACTCTCATTGTATTTTTTGTTATTATCTATATATAGACTTGCTCACCTATTTCGGATTTCAGAGATTCAATATAAGATAAGATAAACCAAAGAGATGCTAAAATATTCTATTCAAAATATAATATTTATTGATAGTTGCTGTTAATTAAATAACCTTATATTTTTGTTTTTGCAGAAGTATGAATATGTGACATATATGAATTTCTCGCAATGTGAATTCTTGAGAGAAGTGCCTGATATGTCTCATTTTCGAAATTTAAAAACATTGAGCTTTCGCGAATGTTGCAATCTGATCAAAGTTCATGATTCTGTGGGATCTCTTCATAAGCTAATACTATTAGATGTTGGTGAATGTACCAAACTTAAAAGCTTTCCATGTGAAATCAACATGCCATGTCTTGAAGATCTCACTCTTTCTGGCTGCAAGAGTCTTAACTACTTGCCACGTATCGTCGGAAAGATGGATGCACTTACCGGTATTTCTGCAGATAGGACTGCTATTAAAGAGCTCCCACCTTCCATTGGAAATCTTTCAGGGCTTGATACTTTGTTTATACACTCTTGCAAAAGTCTTAGGGAGCTTCCGACCAGCTTATTGATGTTGCAAAATCTTAGCACACTTTTGTTGGGAGGCATTCAACCTCGTGGTAGAAAATCTTTAAAGAAACTAATGCAAGAGAGTCAACCATTGACTAGTTGCGCAAACATGGAGTTCCTGGGACTTGGAAACTGTGGCTTGTTGGATGAAGATGTTTACCTTACTCTAAAATGTTTTCAGAATGTGCATCACTTGGATCTATCAAGAAATGATTTTGTGTCAATTCCTGACTGTATTAAAGAGTGTGCTAATTTGAGGGTACTAGAAATACATAATTGCAAGAGGCTAAGAGACATACCAGAGTTGCCATCAGGGTTGAATGACATAAGGGCAGAGAATTGCACATCACTAACAACTGAGTCAGTAGGCCGTTTATGGTCTCAGGTTTTTCTCATGCCTTTGATAATTTTCATTTGTCATGATCCTGGGCTTTATAGCTATGGCAAGGATAAACTTCTAAAAATCATGTCATAATTAGAACGTTTCAGCATTCGGTAATGTTTAATAATTTTTATTCATCTAAAGACATAGAAAGATAGGAAGATCATATTAAAAACATTCCAATGAATGGGAGATTAAGTTATTTGATATCTATAATTATAAATAATTACTCCTTCAGTTATAAATGTAGGAACTAGTTAGGGATTTATGGTTCTGAACGTAAGATTTAATCTATTTTATCTCTTATATCTATTAATTTTTCTGATACTAATTTGTTTAACTTTATAAACTGATATATAATCTAACGTTATCATGTCAATTTTGTTGGAATTAGGTAATTTATTGAGCTTCCTTAATCTCCTCAATTAACTAAGTAGTTCTTACATTAAAGACCAGATGAGTAAATTGGAAGTATTCTTTTATGTGTAGTTCTCGAATCTGAAAACACCTTTGGTCTCTATTGTTTTGATAAATCAGGCTAAAATCTTCTTTTGCAAAGGAGTTGGTATGCCGGCAACAACATTTCCTGATTGGATTGATTATTGCTGTAAAGGAGGCACATTGTCTCTTCGTGTTCATGGGAAAACTTTCCCCCGTCTTGTTGTTGCAATTGAATCAGGGAAAACAAAGACAAGAAAGAGTATTCCCTTCCAAGTTTTTATGAGAATCAATGGTCGTCAAATGTCATGGATAGAAGGTGATGTTCCTTATGTGCCTGATGCAAGTAAAGAAGGTCGTGTGTTGCTCTTTTTCGGTAAGCCAGGCCATGTGTTCTTATTTGATATACTTCAGAATTTTCATGAAGAAGAAATGAAGGGGCTTAATAAGTTTCTAGAATCAGATTGGAACGACGTGGACATACACGTAATGTTTGGGTCATATATTTCCATAATCAAGTGTGGAGTTTATGTTGATAAGCAGCAAATAAGTATGGAGAATATTTGCTTTGTGTCTCCTAGGGAGTTCATGAATACTTCAAGGACTTCACTGAAACGAAAAGCCATAGCTTCTTCTCTTGGTGAATCAGCCAAGAAGCTCTTGAGACATTTCAAGGCTGCTAATAAAAGAAAGCTCAATGACAAAGGGACACATTAAAGTGAGTTTCTACTTTCTTCTACTAATTGTCATTTCAATTTTGTGCTTATCATTCGTTTTGTTCCCTTGCATGTATTGCAGGAGAAGAAAACGACACCAAGTTTCTTGGTACATGATGTCTTACCCAATGGGCGAGCATTTTTGGAAACTTCTTTACTACTAGATGTTGGTTAACAAATGGTCTGTTTTTGTAAACATGGTTGTTGATTTCAATGTCATTGTGTATTGGTAATTTATGTTTATGACGAAAAATAGTACCATATATAAATACTTATATCTAATGTTTCATTTCTCAACATCATATATTCTAAAAAGGGAAAATTGCAAATGAAGACCCCTAATATGTAAAATTACAATTTGGGACCCTCAACTTGAAAATAACAAATAAGGACCCGATTCCACTTTTGCAAATATCAAATTGTATTAAAATGTTTGAAATACCCCTCAGCTGAATGACAAGTTGACTATGAAAAATAACAAGTTCATTTTAGCGAAGGACAATTTCAGTAGACCAAATCACAACTTGGCTGAGGGTATGACAAATGATAAGTTGACTACGAGAAATGACAAGTTCACTTTAGCGAATGGCAACTACAGTAAACCAAATCACAATTTAGCTGAAGGACATTTCAGACATTTCACCCACATTTCATATTTGCAAAAGTGGGACTGAGTCCTTATTTGCTATTCTCCAAATTCAGAGTCCCAAATCACAATTTTACATATTAAGGGGTCTTTATTTGCAATTTTTCCATCTAGAAACTTGGTATAATTGTTTAAATTTGCTATGATTTTCATATTAGGAAGCCTCTACCATGGATAATAAGCTAGTTCTTGAGTGAGAATACTTGGTGATCTAGAAAAAAGCTACCCACTGAAGGTCTGACCAACAAGGCCACCAAGAAATTTGGCAGCCCCATCCCCCCCCCCCAAATAATCTTTTGGGATTTTAGACTAGTCCCCACAATAAAATAGTTGCCAATTTGTTGAAAGCTTTACAAACCCATATAATTGTTAAGGGGAAAATTAGAGAAAAGACTTTAGAGAAAATCATTATATCTATTGAAAAGCATCATACAAATTATAATTATTTAAAAATACTAATCGCTAAAATGTAAATTTTAAAACACTAAATTCACTCTCGCCAATTTTCCTCCATGACCTCCTACCTTCAATTTTTTTAAATAAAAGATAAAACTGATGAAGCCGAAACCGCATTTCGATCTCTTTGCTTCTGCACAATCATGAACATCCAAATATATATGGAAGATAACAGAAGTAAACATTAATACTGTGGGAGATAAAGTTAATTGACATCTTATATCTAATGCTAAATCCAATCTTTCAACTAGTTCTTATATTAAGAACTGAAAATAGTAGTACTTTTTCTTCAATCTCCCAGCCTAATTTTCAGTTATATATATTATAGTAAGCTATACTACATGCAGATCATTAGTAACATGGCTAGCTAGCTCTTTACAAATTGTGCAAAGATGCATAATATAACATATTATTATATTACTCCTCTGTGGAATCCCCCTTATAAAAATGGCTCAGCCAAACTAGTTGTTGTCCTTTTTATTCTGAGACATTGAACGTTGCTTATTATCTTAGGCAATTATATTCTGGAAGACATCGTAAATGGCACGTCTTTTTATTTGGAATTGACGTAACTGTGTGTGTGTGTGTCTATATATATATATATATAAGAGATAGGCACTGGATGTGGAAGAATGCGATCCCTTTTGAGTGGGAAATGAAATGCGAAAGGGAATAATATATTATTAGAATATTTGCTTCTGCACATATGTTTATATGAGATCCGTCCCTCCTTTTTAAATAGCACGTCTTTTCACTCCTAGCTATAACTTGTTAGAATCATTTGTTGTTGATATGTTTAAGGGGATAAGATGGATCCAGTACCCCGAAATATTTTCTCGGATACATTCAGTACCTCGAAATATATTTTTCAGGTGTCTCGCTACTTGCAATATTTTTTGATGTATCTAGCATCTCAAAATATTTTTTTAGTTACATCTAGTACCCAAAAAATCTTTTTTGGTGCATCAAGCACCAAGACAAAAAAAAAAAAGCTTCATGATAATAGATGCATCACAAAATAGTTCGAAGTGCTGAATGCAGCTAATATAATACTTCAGCGACTGAAGACACTTTAACTTTATGTTTAAGTGGACTTGAATTAATATGGAAGCACCCATACATTTGAAGCAGTTAAGCATTTTGTTTTCTTTTTTTTTTAAAAAAAAAACCAGCAGTGGAGCATCTTTTGCGTGCAATAGTTCAACTCAACCAGCATCCTTGCTGTTGAATTACATGTATGTAAAAAACTTGTAAATTAAACATAGATACGTTTGAGTGTTTAATCTTACTCTTAATTCATAATTATTTTAACCAATTTTTTGTTTGTTTTCAAAATTATTTTTTGTACATAGATTTTAAATAATTCAAAATAATTCAACAATTGAAAATATGTAACATGATATTGACGTCTTTCCCAAAATTGATGGAGAAGGAGAATAAAAAACTAATTAATGAGAGTTTTTTGAAAGAAGTTTTTTCCTTTGAAATCTCCACATTTTACAAAAGAAACAGTTGAAGAGAAAAATATGTGACTCGCACGTATTATTTTCTCTCCAATTTTCTTTCCCTCTCACTTTTTTCTACTTATCCAAGGAGGGGAAGATATAATTTTCCCTCATGCTAACTCAAGCACATTGGTAATGCAATTTCAGATTCACAGGTACTTCAAAAATATTCTCTTCTCCGTCTTCATACGTTGATCATTGTTTCGCTTCCAAAATTTAGAAAAGCATTGTAATAATTGGAATATGATTCTCTAGCTGACTGGATTGACGTAACTGAGACATGCAAAAAGGAATAATATATGCATCGATTTAATTTTGTCACATCCTCCACACTGATGTGGGAAAATTAAAATTAAATATTCTATCCCATCATCGTTATAAAACATTTTAAACGTCACACCGAAATTAAAAAAACAAGAAGTAGTTAAATTATTAATTTTGTTTGACAATGACTAAAAATTTCACATTTATCCTTATTTAAAATTAGAAATCATGTATTGAGAAGCTACAGAAAATTTGAATTGAATATTAAATAGGGAAATTTTTTGTATGCAAAAATAGGGATAGAATGTAAATAATATTTTACATGATGATTTATAATACTAGGAGTCATCTATTCGTTTCAAAGTGTGCCTCATAACAAAGAATCGAAAGTGTGTTTTATTATAGGGATTACATATTAGTAAAGTATACAAATTTTATAACAAATTTTACCGAATATAAATTAAAGACTACTTCACGAACTATAAATAATAGGGAAACTTATTTTACATGTACCCAAACTTTTTTTTATCAATCTTTTATTTTTTACATGTAATTTTCTTTTTCTAGTTACATCATTTAATTTTTGCTCTATTAGCATAGCTTGCTTTATTAATATAATTAGCTTTTGTATAGGTGTTCACGGTGCTCATCGAAGAACAAAGTTAAAGATTTAATTAAAAAAAGCATATAAGTGCCAAATTAAAAATCGAGAAAAAGTATGTGTATTCTCAAGATAGTTTTCCCTAAATAATATGGCTGATTTATTTTTCAATTTTTTTATGCTACACAAAACATATTTTATATGGATAAAATTACTTTAAGAGATACTCATACTGTTTTAATATCGATCTTACCTCTTGCTTTTATTATTCGTAAAGAATTTAATTAATGGTAATTATCTTGGAGCCGCTCATCGTGCCCTCGTTTCTTTTTGCCTTTTTTTTAAGACATAGGTATCCTCTTATCAAATGTAACTTTATTTAAGATATTATCGCGTACTAAATATAAGTACTTATCCCAATAAGAATTCAAACATTAGTTTACTATGTTATGGGGGATTAGACTTTTTTGCTAGACCTGATCCCATTGATAGGTCCTTTCGACATAACCAAATAAAGCAATGTGGCTTTTTCCTTGTGTTTTCAGGAAAAACAAAAAAAGAAAAGAGAAAAAACACCTGCGGTAAAGCATTTTTTATGTACTACGAATTTCACTTTGATATGTTCAATAATTGAAAGTATCGGCTCCAAAAAGACAAATAACTTGGGACTAGACGCAAAAACTAAAATTAATTAGAAAAAAAATATAATTAGGTCTCAAAATATCAATTTAAGCTATATGTAAGTTTCAATTTGCAATTGAAACTTTAGCAACATATTTTTTAAAAATTATTTATAAACATATTTTATTAAAAAAAAAAGAGAGCAACATTATGTATTTTTAAACATTATCTTAATTTATACTACCTCTGGTCTTTAATATGAAAACTAATTTGACTTTTTATTTGGTCCTAAATATAAGATCCCAATCCACTTTGTCTCTCATATTTATCTATTTTTTTAAGGTAGTTCTTGTAGTATTTGTATATATTAAATATTTCATCAAATGACACTTTATTAATAAGGATATTTTAGGAAAGATAACACCTATTTATTGTAAATAATTAACTTAACTAATTTTGTTAATCTACCCAAATTAGTTAACTAGCTCTTATATTAAGAACCAGATATAATAGTATGTATTATTATAAAAGCTAAAGGAAAAAAAATGAGCAACATGATGATAAGAGCAAAAAGAGAGATGTAAAAAAAGAGGGTGGGGTCTCATTCACATACAAG